ATGTTTCCTCACATCTGCCCAGGAAAATCCACAAAATACTTTTTGAGGTGAAAATTCTATTTTTGCATCAACCAAAGAATACAACAGAATATAACAACTTTGGCAATGCAATTAATGACATAGTTGACAAAATGAATTGCAAACATAAGCAAAATCAGTGGAAAATTATTATAATAAAACATGATTCAGTTAACACAACATTTATCATACTTACAAAAGTCTATCAACAAAGATCTCTGCACTTGTAAACACGAAACCACCATTTAAATACATGGAAGTAAACAACAGTGATGAAAGACTGATAGTCAAATAAAACAGAGATTAAGAACAGTAAAATGGAGCCCCCAAATCAACTTTCACATAGCTTGTCACACGATAAAGAGTAGCCTCTTCCCTTGCTTCTTTTAAATTTCCATTAATAATTTTCTTACAAATATAGATTTTATTCTATATAAATTTTTGCATCAGGATATATATGTTTAGATTTCTTTGAATTTTCCTTAGTTTACTGTTTGTATCATCATTTTCCTAATCTCACCTCTATCTAACAGGAGAGGAATGCTGCCAGTTGGCATGATAGATACTTAGGGTTCTGCTAGGAGATCGTTCTCGCCTTGCTTTGTTGCAGTGTGTGTAATAAATGATTCTGCCTTTTTCTCCAAGAGGGTAAATGAACCCCTGTCTGAATTTCACACACTACATGAAACAGCTCTGCTCTTCATAAGCTTGTTTATTCCAAGCTAGGAATGTTAGGCACTGCATAAGAGGCCTTCACAAAAGACCCCAAGTTATGACTGAAGCCAGATAGGGTCATGATACATCAGGAAAATGGGGTGATATTGAGGCCCCACTTAGACCTGATGCTCCACAACCATGCATATGCAGGTGGCCCTACATGGACCCCCTGGATTATATATTTTTTTCAAAAGCATGAAGTTGGGAGACAAAAGTAGTGTTGAGAAAAAGGTAGAAAGATGGTATTCTGATGCCTCCTGGGGACTGTTCTCTTTTATTTTAATTTTATTATGTTGATTGATTTATTGTACACACACACACACACACATACACACACACACACACACACACACACATGTATAGGGAGATCAGAGGTCTTGACTATCTTTTCCACCATATGGAATTCAAGCATCAAACTCCGATCCTGGGCAGCAAGTCCTTTTTTCTGCTGAGCCATCTTGCCAGCCCAGGACTGTTTTTGTTTTTCTAATATTATATGCTTTGGCAGCCACATGAATGTACATATTAATTGTACTTGCATTGACATCCAGCTCCCACGGAAACCCTCTGGACTGACAGAATATAAAGCTTTTTACTGCTCACCTGTTCTTTCCTACCCTGTGGCTGTGCCTCTCCCTAGCACCCTCCACAGAGCACCCTTCACATCCTTGTTCCTCAGGGTATAAATCAGAGGGTTGAGCATGGGGATGATGATAGTATAAAAAAGGGCAATGAACTTTCCATTACTCTCAGAATAGCTGTCTTTGGGCTGTAAGTATGTGTAGGTGGCTGAGCCATAAAACAGAGAAACTACCAGGAGGTGGGACCCACAGGTCCCAATAGCCTTTCTGCGCCCAGCTGTTGACTTGACCTTCAGCACTGCCCTGGCAATCTGTGCATAGGAGCCCAGGATGAGCACAGCTGGAATTGCAACAATCACCACTCTGGCCACAAACATCTTGGCCTCTGTCCCTTCAGTGTCTTCACAGGCCAACTTGAGGAACACAGGCATCTCACAGAAGAAGTGGTTCAGTCGACGGCCACAGAGGGGCATGGTCATCATGAGGCTTGTCTGGATCAGAGAGTTCATGAGGCCTCCCACCCAGGAGACAACAGCCAATGCCTGGCAGAGAAGGGGGTGCATGATGGTCGTGTAGTGCAGGGGACGACATACAGCAGCATAGCGGTCAAAGGCCATCACAACCAGGAGCAAACTCTCTGTGGAGCCCAGAGCGAGAGATATGAGCAGCTGGGCCACACATCCTCCATAGCTGATGGTCCTGTCAAGTCCACGAAGGTTGATCAGGAGCTGGGGCACGGTGCTAGTGGTGAAGCAGAGGTCCAGGAAGGAGAGGTGGGAGAGGAAGAAGTACATGGGAGTGTGTAATTGAGGGTCCTTTCGGGAGAGAGCGATGATGGCGGTATTGCCAAAGAGAGTGAAGGAGTAGAAAATCAAAATATAAATAAAGAAGATGATTTCTAGTTGAGGCCAGTCGGAGAAGCCCACCAAAATGAAGCCTCCTCCCAAACTGGTATTAAAGCTTTCCATAGCTTTGGGCAGGAACAAGTTCCTGAAGGTAAATCAGTGCATCCTATGAAAAATAAGGGTTCATACATTCACTGGATAGAGTACTCCTTAAGGGCTCCTAAATGGTGAGTTTATTATCTATTCTGGTATCCAGTTCACTTCCTCCAGCCTTCTAGGTTTACTCTTTTCTACTTTAGATAGAATATAACTCAGTTAGGAATGACATCATCTGTGTTTGAACCTCATCTCCTTCTTCCTCTTTGCTCCTAGACTTTAGCCCGGCCTCTTGGTCCTGTTCCTATTGCACTGAGATTTGGACCTACCTAGTACCATTGGAATTTCTTTTAAAATAGTATGAAACCGATTGTGGAAAGGCACCGAGGTATAGCACATGCCACACGAGTGAGATCGGGGTTTAAACTCCAGCATCCACAGAACCCTCCCCCGCTGCTCAGTGAGTTATCAGGCTCAAATATGTCTTCTTTATTTTAAGATGCATCATGTACTCACTGTGCCAGCATAGTGACAGAACCTGACTTCTCATCCAATAACTTTATTACTGGCTTGGAGACAGAAGTGTTAAGACACTGCCTAGTATTGGGGAAGCCCTGGTTTTATTGTCAGAATTACAAACATATTTCATTGTTTATGGAGACCATCCATATACAGAGGCACTCAAAACCACACAGAGAGATGAACATAGATACTCACCAGTCGCTGTGATGTGGAATGGCAGCAGTGTCAATGGCTAAATGCTTGGAGCTTGATGAAAGGAATGAGATCAACACTATGTCATTAAAAGATAATTTAAATATATAAAAATACATTAAATCTAACCCAATTTCCCCATGTTATACTTGTGTATGTAACCTTCTCCTTAGCCTCTGGAGAACTGAACTCTCAACCAAAACTGAGTAGGCACTAAATCGTCCTTGGACTCATTCTGCATCAGTCTGTACTTTCTCTGACTCAGTCAATCTCTCTTGGCAATACCTTCTAGAGAAATCATACCTCATTCACTCTATCTCATAGCATTTGGGGTGATCTTCAAGACTCCTTGATGAAATTTTTAATAATAGCACACTAGCATTGTGTAGTATAAGACCAGAAAATAAAAGGAGCCTAGTCAGCTTAACTAAAATTCAAAGTCTGAATGAAAAACTGATATTTTAAACTCCCAACTCCCCACAGGGAACATTGCCTCCAAATGAGAATCCTCTTCCATTCTCAGCCTCTCTAATAAACTGTTCTTCATTGATTTTCAGCAACTCTGACCATGGTTGTGATCTGTCTCTTGGATCTGTTGTCTACAGTTTGGATTGCATCTTAGATCCTAGACATCAAAGAAATGGAGTTGTAGAAGGACTGTGAATCCAGAGTATTCCACCCAGTCTGTACTCAAAACAGTCCTGGGGGGTGGGGGGGCGGGAATTGTGTTTACTTCCCTCAGTCCCGCTGGCTTCTAGATAATATGAAACCCATTCCACACCAATGTCATCTAGAAGTGTTTGAGAAAGACCTCTTTCTCTTTGGTCTCAACTGTATCTGTGATATGGCAGGCTGATCACAGCTCTGGTCCTGGAGAAATCATACTTACCTGAGGCCACCACCCCCAGCAGGATCACCTGCTGAGGCCCATAACAAAGTGGAGGAATATCATGTACTGTGCTCTGGCTCCCTCACCATAACCAGCTGGCCCTGGACAGGAGTCAGTATATCATCCAACCTGACCTTAAGGCAGACTGTACCATCCCCACCCTTGGGACACTGCCTGAGCCCCATTAATAGAAGTGGAAACAGGACTGTTTATTCAAGTGTGACCTTGGAGATCACTGGGGACCCCTGAGCCAATTACAATTAATTAACTGCTTCTCCAGGAACTGTGTGCTGTCCTCATCTCTTTCTATCCCTCATACAATGCCCAACCCCTAGTGACCTGTTCAGGTCCTCAAAACATATATTTTAATATGGCTTGTGAAATACTGTGTTAGTGCATTTCTTGTACTTTCCCTACTTTGTCCCAAATCTAATTAGCCTTTTCATCAGATCATATTCTATGTCTCAAATAACCCAACCAAGTTTTACCATCATCCATGGAATTTCCATCTGAAGTTCATTCTCATGAACGTAGATTATTTGTCCAACTAAAATCTGATGTTTTATCTTGCTCTCACAAATCTACTTCAATTACTAGTTCTTATTTTATGCCCTGGTTTTACCCTCAACAAAGCTAAAAAATTAAAGATACTGATTTTTTATCACTGTATGTCAACTGGAATGCCTGGGTGAAAAGTTGACAGACAGCCCAATGCTGGCCTGGTTTAGATGGAGAAAAACTATCAAACATCCATATCACCTGCTTCAAAATTCAGGGTCTTAAGGAATCCAAAGTACAGTATGGCTCAATAAGGAAGGGAATGGCTCAGTTGCCTTTATCCTACTGGCTATGGGTGAGATAGGACCTCTATTTGTCTTTTCTGTATCAAACACACAGATTGCAAGCCCAGTGCCACTTTGAGATCTTTGGCAGCAATTAACCATGCAGCTCACACACAATTGAGCTGGTATGATAATGAATATTCAGAGACAGGTAATGCCTGGGGGGTACTCACCAACCTAAGACAGAGCATCTGTATGGCCTGAGCAGGCGTCTCCATGACAGGTAAGTTGACCTGCTGAAATCCCATGCAACCCAAGTCAGAAGCTCATTTTTTAATAAAAGGGGGACCTGCAGGGCCCTGACTACAGTTTTGCTTGAGGACCTTGACCTTGATATCCTCCCAGTGCTAATTCCCTGCCAGGTTCCACCCTCCTGAATGCTTAAGGGAAGTTCCTTGTCTGTATATCGTGAATAATGGGCGTTAACAGCTTAGATGCAAGATTGTAAAACATCAGTAGCAAACTTCTGCCCTCTGGGGTCCTCCCTTTGTGCTATAAGCCTGTAATTAAGACCTCCTACCCCCTTCAAGAAATGACATTTGACATTTAAAATATATATATTTGAATGAATGAATGAATACTGCGAATGTAATCTATGAATACCACAAATGTTATTAATATCATGAGTATAATTTAAAAAATAAATAAATAAAAAAGATAAAGTTCTCAAAAGAAAAAAAAAGAGTCCATTGCCTCACCCTGCTAGGCGCTGTGAGAACAAGCATGTACAACCACATATGACTAGACAGCTTTTTTTTTAAAAATAAAATAATAAAAAATATTTTTTAAAAAGATTCAGGCCCTGTTGGAGAAGAGGTTGCAGAGAGAATCAAATATCAAAAGAAGTTATTTTTGTAGGTCTTTCCTCTGCATTGAAACTTTCCCTCTTTGAATAGAGGGAGGTTCCTTAAGGCTTAGAAAGTAAACAAAACGAAAAAGTCTCAAGAAGTTCCCAACCGAGGCTTCAACTGTTCCCTGAGATAGATACTGCCAGCACCCGACTGGACTGAAAGAGCCAGCCAGCACCCAATTGGCCTGAGTCCCAGTTTCAGGCCAGTTGGCAGGAAGACCTCCTGCAGACAGGCCAGACTACCACCATCTACCATGCACTAAAACTTCAGCCACTACCTAAGACAGAGCCCACTAGCACCAATTGAGGTAAGAGCTGCTTCCTGAGACACAGAGTCCATCGGCATTGACTACACCAAAAGCTACCACTGGATCAAGAGTATCAATCAGACCAAGAGGGGCTCCCTGAGACACAGATGCCAAGTGGAGAAAGAGATGGGTAGACACCAGTGCAAAAATAGAGTCAACAACATAAAAACCAATATGGGTCCATCAGAATCTACATCAGCAAGACCTGAACATCCTAACACAGAAGAAACAGAAGATATCTACCATAAAAATGACTTTAAGACGATATTATGGATCTTAAAAGAGGAAATGAAAAATTCCCTTAAAGAAATCAAGGAAACGTCAAACAAAGAATGGGAAGAGATCAGTAAATCTCTTGAAAGCCAAGAGAAAGCAATTAAACAAGTGAGGGAAACAGTTCAAGATTTGAAAACTGAAAGGGAGACAATAAAGAAGACACAGACTGAGGTAATGCTGGAAGTGGAAAATCTGAGTAAATGAACAGGAACTACATATGCAAGTATAGCCAAAAGAATGCAAGAGATGGAAGAGTGGATCTCTGGCATTAAAGATATGGTAGAAGAAATAGATTTATCAGTCGAAGAAAACACTAAAGCCAACAAAGTCATGACCCAAAATATCCAGAAAATTGGGGACACCATGAAAAGACCAAACCTAAGAATAATAGGGATAGAAGAAGGAGAAGAATACCAACTCAAAGGCACAGAAAATATATTCAACAAAATCATAGAAGAAAACTTTCCCAACCCAAAGAAGGAAATGTCTATAAAGATAAAGAAGGTTACAGAACACCAAATAGACTGGATCAAAAAAAAAAAAAAGTCCCCTCGCCACATAATAATCAAACCACTAAACATACAGAATAAAGAAAAAATATTAAGAGCTGCAAAGGAAGGACAAGTAGCATATAAAGGTAGACCCATAAGAATAACACCTGATTTCTCAGTGGAGACTCTAAAAGCCAGAAGGTCATGGACAGACATTATGCAGACACTAAGAAACCATGGATGCCAACCCAGACTACTATACCCAGTAAAACTCTAAATCAGCGTAGACTGAGTAAACAAAATATTCCATGATAAAACCAGATTTAAACAATATCTCTCCACAAATCCAGCCCTACAGAAAGCACTAGAAGGAAAAATCCAACCTAAGGAAGTTAGATGCATCCATGAAACCACAGGCAATAGATAGTCCCTCACCAACAAATACCAAAGAAGGGAAACATACAACACTACCACACACAAAAAAAGAATTAAAAATAACTGGTCATTAATATCCATCAATATCAATGGTCTCAACTCACCTATAAAAAGACACAGGCTAACAGAATGGATATGAAACAAGATCCATCCATTTGCTGCAAACAGGAAACACACCTCAACTTCAAAGACAGACACTACCTCAGAATAAAAGGTTTGGAAAAGACTTTCCAATCAAATGGATTTAAGAAGCAAGCTGGTATAGCTATCCTAATATCTAATAAAATAGACTTCAAACTAAAATCAATCAAAAGAGATTGGGAAGGACATTACATGTTTATCACAGGAAAAATCCAACAAGATGTAGTCTCAATTCTGAATATTTATGCCCCAAATACAAGGAAACCTACATTTGTACAAGAAACATTACTAAAGCTTAAATCACACACCAAACCCCAAACACTAGTAGTGGGAGACTTCAACACCCCACTCTCACCAATGGACAGGTCTGCCAGACAGAAACTTAACAGAGAAATAAGGGAACTAACAGACATTATGACTCAAATAGACTTAATAGATATTTACAGAATATTCCACTCTAACACAAAAGAATACACCTTCTTTTTAGCACCCCATGGAACCTTCTCCAAAATCAACCACATGCTTGGTCATACAGCAAATCTCAACAGATATAAAAAAAAAACTGAAATAACCTCCTGTGTCTTATCAGACCACCATGGCTTAAAGTTAGATTTCAAAAACAACAAAAATTACAGAAAGCCTACAATCTCATTGAAACTGAATAATGCCCAATTGAATCACCAATGGATCAAAAAAGAAAGAAAGAAATTAAAGATTTCCTAGAATTCAATGAAAAGGAATGTACAACATACCCAAACTTATGGCACACCATGAAAGTAGTGCTAAGAGGAAAATTCATAGCTCTAAATACCCACATAAAGA